CCTACAATCAAAACAAAGCTCTGAGACAGCGCTTGTTCGTGTCCATAACGACGGCATGAGGGCAATGACGATAAATCAAGAAGGACCAGCAGGGTGACATTTCTGCTGGTCCTTCTTGATTTATCGTCAGCCTTAGACACCATAGATCACACGATTTCTGCTTTCAAGATTGGCGATGTTACCTCACTTCTGACAACAGTTAACATTGGTAATCCGCAGGATTCAGTTCTGGGGCCTTTGCTTTTCAGCATATACATCCTTCCAGTAGGTGATATAATCAGGAAACACAGTTTGATGTTTCATCTCTATACTGACAACAATCAGATCTACATATCTATAAAGTCATCTGAAACCGCTACTGGAATCAGCTGAACTGAAGCCTGTGTGAATGAGGTCAGATCCTGGATGACTGTGAATTTTCTCAACTCAAATGACAGTAAAAAAGGATTTCTACTACTTGGTTCTAAACAGCAGCTTTGAAAGTGTCTGTCACTTAACATTGGCAACAGCAATGTCGATACCACTCCATCTGCAAAACATCCAGTATGTGCCTTGAAAAAAATGTCAAGAACTTAATCAAAACTTGCTTCTTCCACATTCACAACATCTGTAAAATCTGCCATCAGCACAGTGCAAGAGGAATCTGGACTCATCAGTGAAGAGAACATGTCTCCACTCAAGTGCTCTCCACTAGGCGTGTTGTCTGCACCACTGCTGTCGTTGACGTGATGTCAAACTTTACCATCTGGCAGGATGTCTAGCACATATTCCCTTCTGCAACCAGATGCCGATGAATGGTCCTTGGCGATATCCTGTCGACACCAGGAACTGTTCGGGCTGTCAGTGTGGCTGGAGTGAATCTTTGGCACAGATGGGTGGTTCAAATCCAACGATCGTTGCGTGGCATGGTTACAGGTGGACAGTTGTTTTGGGGACAGTCTGAAACGACAGCGCTTTGTTGATAACAAGCAGCATATGGTGTTCCTGTGCACATTAAACTGCTGTGCAATGTTGCATTGGAGTGTTCTGGTTTCTAGCATTCCAATCGTTTGCCATCTTTAATTTTCAGTTAGCTTTGGCATAGAGAAATGCAAGCAGATTCTTCCAAATGTGTGCTTTTGGACCCATGGATGTCTAAACAATGATTCAAGGTTTAGAGCCTCACTTTTTAAAGGGCATGTCGTATGTCTTTTTTTCCATGAACTTCTTGAAGGCATGAAAAACTACCATTAGGGCGGTGTTTGGGTTATAGATTAAATGTATTATAAAGAATAATCAAATTTTCTCATTTATATAAACAAATGTGTTTATTATGCCTTACCTTCTACATCTCTTAGAAAGAGTGGTATGCTAAGGATCCATAGGATTGATGTATGGAAGGTTTGTAGCTGGTGTATGGCATGAGAATATCAAGGCCACTATTGGAAGTGGTTTAACAGCATCAGGACCTGGACCATGGAAATTCCATCGAAACATACCATCCTTTTCATTATTCATGGGTGGAAATAACCCATTGCCCAATGCCCCAGTCCAGTGTTTTTTTCTGTCGGGCTAGCAAATTTTTATGTCACACTATACAGGTGTCCAGTTGACTTTCCAATGTTAATTATGTTGTTTATTTACATTTACATCGGCTGGTGTAGTGGAAGAATTATCAGGGCAAGTGATTTCACATGTGCCACTGTACCGGAGTACACTAGCAATTTTAAAGTTATTTCCATCCCTGATTATTCCCCAGAATTTGACAGTTTGATATGATTTCAAGATTAGATCCATCTTAGTGAATACTGAGCAAGGCATCTGGAATGATGGTTTAAAAAAAATACCAGGTTCTTATTCCTGAAGTGCTGAATTGAGGGGAAGAGACCCAATCTGGATGGAAATAACTTCAGAAGTCTATTAAGAGCATTGTCTGTACCCACCAGTTTGTAGGTATATTCAGACTGTAATAGTGATTTGGTAATTGCAGGAATTATCATGTGCTATATTGTGCATCACAACAATGATTGGTGATATGATGATCCCACACAGCAGATATGATAACTCCCTTAAACACAATGTAAAATACATACATGTGTCAGGTCACGTCACGTCACGCCATGTCACATACTATACTATACATTCATGTGTCTCAGGGACACAAGCACCCCAGTAAGGTATACATGCTTTCAATGCCTTAAAATAAAAGGCACAACTAAGCACAATGTATGTTATACTCACACTCTCACAGACAAATCCTTTCTCATACACACTTCTGCACCCACATGGATACACCCCACATGCATATACCCCACATGCATACACCCCACATGCATACACCCCACATGCATACATCCACATGCATACACCCCACATGCATACACCCACATGCATACACCCCACATGCATACACCCACAGTAATATAAACTACATATATGCACTATCAGCACACATTTACCAATACTATTTATAGAACTATGTAGATAATGATTTATATCTTACAACACTCAGTGTACTGAACTACTACACATAGTTCTACAACTTAACTAAAACTACTAAATACAGTAATTAAATTATATTTAACTCCTACAGGAATTATTACTAATCACAACACAAACCAATGTAGCATGTATTTACAACAATAGTTCATATGATGTGGATGATATTGTCAACTGTTCTATATTACATGTAACTGAAATAAATGTCTCGTTAAGAAGACAAAAATATCAGAATGTGCATTATTACGTAACTAAGGAATTAGTAGCAAGTGCTCAAGTTTGGTTGGAGAGCTGCTACCATACTTTACTAAGTTATTTAACCAAGTTTACAACTCAGCAACTACAGTACATATAATGAGACATTATCACCTCCCCAATATTCTGCATCCGGATGCAGATGAAATAAGGGAGGTATCCTGACTCCACACATGCTGGGTTCAGGTGGGGACGTACTGTTAAAGTGTCATCTGTGATACACATAAGAGGTGACAAATTATGGATGTTAACATCTGGAATAAGAGGGACACGTCATTTCAGGTTGTAAAGGACTAAGAATATGTTCCCTCATATTACAGAAGTTGACATCATAAACTTTCATCCTTAAAGATACTATTAATATCTGAACTATACTGAAAGGCAAAAGAAACGTCGTAATATTGGAGTGAGTTTAGGTTTACGCTGCTTTTAGCAATATTCCAGCAATATCACGGCGGGGGACACCAGAAATGGACTTAACACATTCTGCCCATGTGGGGAATTGAACCCGGGTTTTCGGCGTGACGAGTGAACGCCTTAACCACTAGGCTACCCCACCACCCCCGTAATATTGGAGGTAAGGTGAGGTGAAATTGGGTTTAACGTCTTGTTTGAGAATATTTCGCTCATAAGACGACGTGCATGCGTGTGTATGTGTATGTGCGGCATCTTGTACTAGCCCAGACTTAAGCTGGTTTTATAGTGCTAGCCCACTGAGATATCATGCCGCAGTGAAGCATGAATACCCCACTCAGACACATTATACTGACTCCGAGCCAACCAGTCCTTGTTGTACCCATTAATTCCGAGCGCCAGGCAGGGACCAACAAGTACCATATTTTAACGTCTTTTGGTATGACGTGGTTGAGGATCGAACCCGCGACCTTCTGCTCTCTGGGCGGACGCCCTAACCACTACACCACGGAGGTGGTCTCGTAATATTGGAAATGACATTTAAGTATCAATGGAGTATTTGAAGCACAGCTGCAGAAAACAAGTGAACGATTGCCATTCAAGCCGGCAATTAATGCCTGAATGCATGCATGATGTACGTGCATCTTGATTTCAATGTTATGTTTGCGTGAACTCTACCCTTTCCACAAACAAAAACGTCAATAATCTCAATCTCAAACAATACTTTATTGGGCAAAGCAGGCTTTACAACCACGATTCATGTTTTCCTCAAACTTGACTTCCGGTGTATATTTAAAAAAAATAGGTTCACATGCTCCATTGATACTTAAATGTCATTTCCAATATTATGATGTTTCTTTTGCCTTTCAGTATATTTATTGACAGTTTACAGTAAAGAAGACTTCCGTTAAAGATTAACATTTTATTGTGTAGTGACGGTCAAAATACAAGATTAAAGGCACCGATGTGATAGAGGTAGTATTCTTAGCATGAATTATTTTGACTTGTACTATATGGCTGAAGAGAACAACAGACCCACCTTTGCATGTGCTTGTGATGAGTCCTACTGTTGGGCTGGAAAAGCTTTCCACTTACCGGTAATGGGCCCAAGGTATTGTCTCAGTTTGATAGTGACTTAGATACATGTGTTTGTCATTTATTACAATTCGCACAAAGGTGTCTGCTTTTAGTGGAGATTTCATATGATTAAGGAAACATTCCTGTCCCTTGTCACATTATCTTTCAATAAAATGTCCTCTGGTTTCAATACAGTGATATTATCTCTGCTCAGTAGAAACTTTTACCATGGTCACCCTGAAAAGGCCTTGACTATTTTGACAGCAGCAATCATCATTTGCTCATCACAACTAAACACAGTATGACACAGGACATGAGAGTAAGGGACATGGTGGTTTGACCTCGTAGCACATGGTCATGATTATCAACTCCTTGTCACAGAAAACTGAAGCCATGACTTGGCCAATGATGTCAAATGATTCTAGTTTAGTGTCAAGTTTCTAGCTTTCAGAAAACCAGAAACAGATTTGGGAACTCATGTGTTATGTTCTCAGAAATGATATTGTTCACACCTTACATTACATGATACTATATTCATGAGCCCACAAACTTTTATATTTCTGTTTGTATGCCGTGGAGAATGGGTTCAGTAACAAATATGAAGAAAACACTAACCACAGGTAAAGTCAGTCTGTTTATCAATAACAGGTGCAGTTTATCCTTATTTATAACTAAATACATGGATGCTAGTGCTTAAGAGTATTCCAAAGACAGACTAAAACTGCCAGTTGCTGGATACTGAGGTTACTAATGATTACTATCTTCTTCTTCCTCAGCTTCGGTATTTCCAGGATCCTGTTGTGGCCAGTCTCCAACACCTTGATACATATGACAGAAAGGACTTAGCTGACAAAGCTGAAGCCTATGCAAATTTATCTCAAGTGATCCCAAACATACCTAGGGTAAGGCTGTAAGATTTGGTTTCACTCACAGATTCCTTTATATACAAACCTGTTCATATGTATCTTTCTGTTTCCATGTCCATGGACCCATGAAGGTCCGGGTTAGAATGAACCTTCAGTAACCCATGCTTGTCGTAAGAGGCGACTACCGGGATTGGGTGGTCAGGCTCACTGGCTTGGTTGACACGTGTCATCCGTTGCAAATTGCGCAGATCGATGCTCATGCTGTTGATCACTGGATTGTCTGGTCCAGACTCGATTATTTACAGACCGCCGCCATATAGCTGGAATATGTCTGAGTGCGGCGTAAAACTAAACTCACTCACTCACTTCATGTCCATGGCGACCGCCTCCGTGGTGTAGTGGTTAGAGCGTCCGCCCGGAGAGCGGAAGGTCGCGGGTTCGATCCCCGACCGCGTCATACCTAAAGACGTTAAAATATGGTACTTGTTGGTCCCTGCCTGGCGCTCGGAATTAATGGGTACAACAAGGACTGGTCAGCTCGGAGTCAGTATAATGTGTCTGAGTGGGGTATTCATGCTTCACTGCGGCGTGGTATCTCAGTGGGCTAGCACTATAAAACCAGCTTAAGTCTGAGCTAGTACAAGCAGCCGCACATACACATACACACGCATGCACGTCGTCATATGAGCGAAATATTCTCAAGTACGACGTTAAACCCAATTTCACCTCACCTCACCTCATGTCCATGTCATGAAGACATCGCTATGACTTTGTGATGTTTGTGTGTTTGTTGGAAGCAAGACACTTACACATGACTCCTGAATGCAAGGAGCACACAATGATTGTTTAGCTATCTGGAGCTCATAAAATCACATGTATTTACTGCAACCATAAACAGTGCCACAGCTTGCTGGAAAACAATATCTGTGTGCTGTTGGTGATCTGCAGAAGGAATGGTACAAAATTATATTGCCAGACATTATAAAATTCATCAAAACACAATAAGATATCTTTGGAGATGTTATCTAGGGCAGGACAACCATATTTGGTTGGTGCATCCAAACAGTTGATACCAAACTGCCACATTGACAGCCTGGATTTCCTGTGTTGAGACCATTAATGGCTGAACAATATGTAACCACTTGTGGGAACACAACACCTGACAGTTTACCATTTTCAGACGAGTCAAGGTTTCAACTAGAAAGATCTGATGATTGAGTGAGGGTCTGCAGGCATCTGGGAAAATGTTGGTATATCGATCCTAGGTTTGCTCAGTGTTTTCAGTATGGGGATGGAAATGTAATAGCATGTTGGTGGTATCACAATTCATCATTGTTAATTGCAATGGTCATGTTCCACCCTATGTTCAAATGCTGGTTCATTCCAGAGGGATGATGCCCACCCACACCTTACATGTGTTGTAACAGATGTCTTGAAAGCAACATACCATTGCTTTGTTTACTGCCATGACCGGTAGACCTTTTACCTCAAAGAAGATATCTCGGATGAGATGGATTGACAGCTCTGGCAGGACCAGAACCAACCAGTAATACTGGCTCAGTTTGGCCATCTTTTGGAACAACATCCCCCTGTTTTCAGTCTTGTGGTGATTTCCTTGCACCACCGCTACCTGTATCAACACAAATAGCAGTCTCCTGCTACCTCATATGGGTTTCATCAATGAATTTCTGGTTTTCAACAGCAAAACATTTACACCACTTTATATGTTAGTAGTTACTTTGTTCCATTGCTGTAGTGAAGATTAATGCCATCAGTATTTTGTGAAACATATTTACCCTGTTCTTTGTTGCAGAAACTTTTGTATAAGAATGTCTTCCCTGTTCTTTGTGCTGATTGCAAGACCTCTGAGAACATTGTGTATGCCTTACCTGCCCTGCTCACTATGATAGATTTTGCCCCTAGAGATGATTATATGGACATCATCCTACCTCAGTTCAGGTCCATTCTCAGCTCAACTAAGCCTGTTCTGGTAAGTGTATACGACGTACCTCCCATACATAACATTGCATCATGTAGAATTTCAGGAAATATCCTTATCAGTATAATCTTGTTGGGATGACAGGTGAGAGTGGGCTCTCTGAACCGTGATGTCTTATACTGCATCCTGTTACCATGGTGACATGGATTGTTGCTCATGCTAGTAACCAATGTTTGCCTGACCAACACCAGAGACTTGGAGACCTCTGGACTAGCCAGAAGTTATCTAAAGGCAATGTTTATCATTCATTCACTCAGTCTGTTTCATCTGCCCTTGCCTAGTGTTTGGCATGATGGTTTGCTAATACCCATTGATTATGGTGTACTTGTATCATAACATTTATGACAGTTGTATATCCTTCAATGGATCACTGAAAGGATTCTGGGTACTTATGTATTCATATTTGTATATGTATCATTAAACTTGGTAAATATCATACTTAGGAAAGAAACAGTGTCTAAGAATATTTATTAACATGTGTTTTAGAATTAGTTTAACTGAACAGGTTTAAAGTGTGACTACACAACAAAGTGCTGTATTCAGGGGGACAGGAGGACTTATGATTCTACTGTGGCAACAGCTAGTTGTGTATAGCTGACAGCTCTCTGTAGCTCTATTGTGATGGCAAGCCTGAATACAGGAGTTATGGCAAAATATAATACATGTAGTATTCTTAGAATTATTTAAGAATGATAACTAGTGTTCAGTTTTTAATAGGACAAGGCAACAGATACCATGGAGTGTTTTAGTTTGTAGACATGTAGCAGTTTGGGCAGGATGCTGATGACCCAGAAGAGGTCAAGATCAACCCTAATATTATCAGTCAAGTGATTGCTCTTTCCAGCAATACATGCACATTACACATGAATATGTCTTGAGATATTCATATTCCTAGATTGTAACACTACAGATGTTCATTAAACTTAAAATGTTTTGTTTTAATGTAGGCAACAGTGTACATTTTGAACAAACTGGATATAATACTTGCAAAGACGCCTTTGGATGAAATCAGATCAGAGGTCCTTCCTATGGTTTTCAATACCCTGGATTCAACATCCTTGCAGGCTCAGGTAAGTGTCAACTCAGCTTAGCTCAGCAATTATTTTCATAAGACTGAATCCAGAATGTATGCGGGCCTTAGTCACATTCATGTTAGCAGTATGATAATGTTTATGGTCCTGTTTATCAAGAATGACAACACTGAGTAAAGGAAGTTTAATGATAGACAGTTATCCTAGAGATCAATCTCAGCTCCTCCTTCAGTGTTTGGCTTCTTTGACAAATGCTAATTTCTCACTTTTATCTGATATACATAAATTCAGCTTTTTAATGTTGAATGAAGACATGTGTTTTCAGGTTGCCAAAACCCAATATACTATTCTATCACGTTGTCAGGTTTTATTGTATCAGTGATGGAATTTTATATATCCTGTGCCCCTTGTATATGGTGTGTTATTTTACACATATATATTTATACTTTCATGTGACATAGTCTCCCACAATTCTGCAAGAATAGCTTGTGTACATAAATATATGTTTTACGTGTTCAAAATATTGCTGTACATAAGGTGAGACTTAAAGGGGCACAGATCCAGAACAATTTCCGTGGACTGGTTGTTGCTGTTGTTTTTGTTTTTCCTACCCGTGAAGGTCCAGGTTAGAATATTGATCTTCAGTAACCCCTGTTTGTCGTAAGAGGCGACTAAATGGATCGGGTGGTCAGACTCGCTGACTTGGTTGACCATGTCATCAGTTCCCAGTTGTGCAGAACAATGCTCATGCTGTTGATCACCGGATTGTCTGGTCCAGACTCGATTATTTACAGACCGCCGCCATATACATGTAGCTGGAATATTGCTGGGTGCGGCGTAAAACTAAACTCACTCACTCATTATTGTTTTTCTCCTGCGAGTACCCGGATAATATCCCAGAATTCTCTACTGGTTTGTGATCTCTGCTGGGCCATCCGCAGGCACAATTGATAGTATAAGTATAGATTGATCAGCAAAGATGAAATCTTTTTTGCTCGTTAATATTTCCATCTTCATTATTATGATAACAAATGAAAATATTTTGAAGTTTAACCATCTGCCAGTGGTTAAAATATGTTATGACTGAAAAATATATAAGTAAATAAATAAGTAATATATTTAGCCAATAATGAGCAATCAGTCAATGTATTGGCGGTTATCGTTTTAAGGAAGGACGTTGTTTTTACACAGGCACTTTACAACAGGGTGTATTCAGGACAGATTAGTAAATCTGCATACATAAACACTACCTTTTGACAAATCCGCTGTAAAATAAAAGTTATTAATCAATCAGCTTGTTATCAGTTAATCCTTTGATCGATGTTTGTTTTTGTAACTCACCTGATAATTCCTCTTGCTGAACTTCCATGCGCATATTACATAACATGTAATACATTTGTCACATCAGACCTTAATTAATAATGATGAGTATTTACTCCAGACACGAGTAATGCCAAATGGGAACCTTTGTCTGGTAATCTGAGTGGTATTACCACCAACTGTACCTGTTAAAAATTCATTCACTGACCATCAAGTGAAAGATGACAAATAACATGTGTAGGTTTATACCACCAAACATGAGTTACAGCAAGGGAGTAGTAATTGCTGTATTGCATGTGAAACCTTATGGGCCGACACTGTTTTGAGGATACAAGCGGAACTTCATAGTTGCATAAGAAATACATATAAGCATTTGTTGAGTACTTAAGTTAAAAAAATGTATATACCTGCTTACCTAAGTAAATTTTCAGATTTTTCTAGCAGTGGCAAAGTGGGGTTGTTTAGTTTACACATTCAAATAGATCACATGTGTGTTTTTTATGTCATAGATAATAGACATCATATTTGTACATGACATGATTAAATATTGAGGTAAAAAACACAGAAATAGGATCAAATTGGATCAGTCACGCTACCATACAGGCATTAGAAAATACTAAAAAGCCTACACTGCTGGGATACTTTATTACAATCAGACAAGAACTACCGTGGATATTTTCAAATAACGGCATCTGTTTAGGTTGAAGAAATTCTGCCAAGGTGGACATTAGCCCAGTCCCCATGTCTATCATGGTCGAGGGGGCAGGTAGTGACTAGCTTGCAGCCAGGTTTCGTAATTAGACTGTTGGCGCGAAACATTAATCGCTCTTGATCAGTGCCCTTGTAAATCTGTCTGTCTGTGTGTCTGTCCTCCAGACCAACATTTTTGTATGTGCATTCAAAGCATCACTCACTAACCAGTTCAAGTTTATGCCTGGGTTGTAAAAACAGCTCAAGGACACTGTCAGAACACTTATTCAGTCAGTTATTATGACAAGGATCTTGGGTCCCAGTGAGGTTTCTGGTGAAATCCTTATCTAACTGGCATGCTGGTCTGGTTGTGGGGAATTAACTCAGCAAAGAGTCCGAAGTCACAAGAAGCTAATTACATTTTTATTTACAAGAATGGAATAACATGGGGTGGCCACAGAGAGTCGGTACAACCCTCTGGGCTGAGGGCTAGAGCTGACCTGTGTTGGGAGATTCAAAACCCTACTGACTAAGATATGGAATTCCTCACTGTTTATCTAAAATTGAAAAAATAAAAAGATTGCGTTTCGTTGAATGATACAAAATGGTGTGCCCTATAATAACCAATGAAATACAGAATGAAGTGTGTCCTACAATAACCAATGAAATGACCAGACAGAGGGGAGTACTTAATCCTGCTAATCCTGCTAACTGGCACTAATCTTGTTCACACACTTACTTGATGCTTGGGTGCTTATGGTATACAATAGATGGGCTTACTCTGAGCCATGGCTTTATGACCCTAATTTGAAGTGTTTGCACAATGTTATTTTAATATACGTGATGACATGTTTACTTTATCAAAACAGTTGATTAAACCATCTAGACATAGCTTTTGTCTTGCTGAAAGATGTGTCTAACAGTTGAATCCGTAATACCTTAGGCTAGGATTTATCTTCAATCAATCAATCAAGTTTAGTAAACAAAAAAAACAACAACAAAAAACGCCTCCGTGGTGTAGTGGTTAGAGCGTCCGCCCGGAGAGCAGAAGGTCGCGGGTTCGATCCCCGGCAGCGTCATACCAAAAGACGTTAAAATATGGTACTTGTTGGTCCCTGCCTGGCGCTCGGAATTAATGGGTACAACAAGGACTGGTCGGCTCGGAGTCAGTATAATGTGTCTAAGTGGGATATTCATGCTTCACTGCGGCATGGTATCTCAGTGGGCTAGCACTATAAAACCAGCTTAAGTCTGGGCTAGTACAAGCAGCCGCACATACACATACACACGCATGCACGTCGTCATATGAGCGAAATTTTCTCAAGCATGACGTAAAACCCAATTTCACCTCACCTATTAAAAAAACAACTCTCACCGTGGTACATGGATGTAGACATTTTTGCGTATATGATGTGGCTGTACACATTCACAATGTCATGTGAGAACAATAGTAAAAAACGTTTACTAGACAAAGGTTGATAGTATGCATTTGATAAATTTTGATAGTTTATGGATATATGACATGCGGTGGTGTGACAGTTGCCCAAGTAGCAATTCAAGCTTATGAAAGTTGGGATTTACATAATAGAAACCTGGCATGTACAACTCTTTCTTTCTTAAAATATTGACATTCAAATAAGTAATGAAATTCATCACCAATATGTGGTGTATCACACAATTCACATAATCTGTTTTCAAAAGGGATATCTAAAAACATCTGTGAAATTGGGCAGCCGTAACTTACATAGTATGACCAGAAATTATTGAGAATCTTAGGAATATGTTTAATTGGATTTCTAGTATAAACAACCTTGACCAGCTATCAAGTGCTTGCTTTCATTCAAGAGAGACAACTCTGTTAATCATTTTTCATTAGTTTGTAAAAAAGTTATCCCCCTTTGTTTACTTGCTAGCAGACAACATCTTCAGTGATCCTCAGTATGGATGATTTAGAGAAGAGGAAGTTGATTTTAGAGTATTATAACAAGGACATCAGATCAGCTAAAGCGATTTCAAGTAGAACAGGCATCCCTTTGTCCACTGTTTATCGTGTTTAGAAAAATATTGCAAATGGATATGGCATTGAGCACCAGGGAGGCGCAGGTAGGCCCAGAAAACTGACTGTCGGTGACAGGAGGCGGCTTGGTATTCTTGTTTCTAAAAACGAAGGAGTTTAGAAAACTTAAGGCTGGATATGATTGATAGAGGAACTGTGGCTGTCTGTAAGGAGACAATTAGAACTGAGCTGCATGCAATGGGTTGGCAGAAACGTCGAGGAATTCCATCACCGATCATGAAACCTGAACAAAAGGAGCGAAGGTTGAACTGGTGCTTACAGCATAGAAATTGTAACTGGGACAATGTGATTTTCTCAGATGAAAGTTCTGTGTGGCTGTTTCCTAATACACTGAAATTCTGGACCAAACAAACTGAAAAACCTTTGTATCAGCGCCCAAAGTACAGTCCGAAATTTAACGTGTGGGGTGGCATATCTGTGTTAGGGGCAACGCCCCTCTGTGTATTTGAAGGGAATATGAACAGTGAGCGGTACACAGATATTCTCGAGGGACATTTACTTCCATCTGCGTGTTCTATGGAAATTTTTGGATTTTCCAGCAGGACATCGACCCAAAACATCTTTCAAAGCATTCACAGGCCTGGTTTCGGACCCAAAATATAACATTATTAGATTGGCCAAGCTATAGCCCTGACCTAAATCCAATAGAAAATGTTTGGGGACTTATGAAGAAAAGTGTCAATAAGAAAAATCTGACAAATATTGCTGAAATGAAAGAAGAGGTGGTCCGATATTGGGACAGCATGGACCACGACTTTCTAACTTCTTTGATCAGTAGTATGCCCCGCCGCATTGAAGTCTTTGAATCTGAAGTTATGTTCTGCTAATATTCACATTTAATACGTGAGTAATGAGTGAAAAAAATATAAAAATTATACAATCTATAAATTCTCAATAATTTCTGGTTGTACTGTACCTTTTTCAATAGTATGTCAGTGAGATGAGTTTTACT